ATAAATTATATATATATATATAATATAATATAATATAATATATTAAGTAATGTGTTATTATAAAGTTTATATCATTATATAACAATTTTTTTAATATCAATATTATAAGCATAAAATATAAAGTTTTTTTACGGCATAAATAAGAAGGTTAATAACATATAAAAAAACAGGCATAATAACGGTTAAAATAAGTTTTTTTAGTTTAAAAGTACAAAATGTATAGAATTATCAGGAAGGTGAAGTATTTTTTTCAATCATTCAAAACGAATTACTGACACTCTTGGATAAACTAACCAAGGCATTCAACTTTAGAGCTTGTTATTCACACATGACTAAAAAAAATTTACTTTTTTATATTTTGTTAATTTAATCCTTAAATTTGAAGTTCTCACAAAATAACAAAATTTAATCTTTAAATGTGAGGTTATCACAAAATATATCAAGTATAGTGGCGGTAAGTATTGTCTCAAAAGTCTACTTCATTATATTTTTTGTAACACACTCTTCAAAATATAAATAAATATTATTATTATATACGTATTGAATTCTCAATAGTATTTTGCAAAAGATTATGATCATTAAAATATTTAATTTATTTTAAAATTTAAAGTATTGTATAAGTTTATTTTTTCATTAAATTTTTTTTTACAACCATTATATTCTAATATTTGATTTATGATTATTATAAGGGTTATATATGGTTTTAACCTAACTGAATGATCCAAAAAAATTGAAATAAACTAAAGGATTTTTTTTATTTGATTAAACTATAAAATTGATTTGAAATAGGGAATTCAAATAATTTAGTTTAAAACTCAAATTTTTATTTTTCAAATAACAAACTCAGCTGATTCATTAGATAAATAAATATTATATTATTTATTTATTTATTTAATTTATTTTTATTATGTATGATTTATAGGTTATAAAATCAGACTTCTAATTATAATTTTTAAGAATTACACATTACAAACTATTTAATAGAATTTTATAGCGTAAAATAAATACATTCAATATCTGAGTCTCTCAATGACTTGCTTAATAAAAATTCTAAACTTTCATATTCTCATAAATAGAAAAAGATTACCGGAAATAAATGTCTCTCATATATATATATATGTATGAAAGTGTTAATTACTTATTTAATCTTACAATATTTTTTTATTTTCATTTACTTAATTTATTTTTTGTCCTTGTTATTAATTATAGTAACTTTAGTGCTGAACATTAAAATAAAAATATTAATTAAAATAATTAAAGTAATAAAGAATATCTTAAATTAAGATAATTATATTAATTTTAGGTGTACAATTTAATTAAGTATTTTTTTTTACTTTATATAAATAAGGTAATTAAATATGTAATTTTCTATGTTTTATTTTAAAATTTAAATATATTATGATAATGAATCTTAATTATTTTTACCGTTATTTTTACTTTTTAATTCATTAATTTATTTTAATATTGTATTATTTTTTAAAAATATTATATTATAGAAACTTAAATTTTAATTTAAATATACTATTTCTGTCTTTGAAGAAAAAAATATTTACTTGTGATATGTTAAAAAAATAATTAATATTATACACGTTTAAAATTAACAAAATATAGTGTAAAAAAGTCATTAAAAATAATATATTATAAGTACATTAAAAATGTTTAAGAAAACTATAATATTTAAAAAAGTATAAAATTAAAAATAAACTAATGAATTGAAATTTAAGGAAAACATTGAAAATAATAAAAATTATTGTTCATAATGTATTAAAAATTATAAATTAATTATAAAACAAATTAAATAGAATTATCCTATTTATATACAATAATAAATATATTATATGATTTAATTATGCACTTAAAATTGATATAATAATTTAATTTGATATATTTTTATTACCATAATTATCTTAATTAATATTATTTATTTTTTTAACCATAATAACACTATATTAACTAAAGTTAACAATAAAAATAAAATAAAATAAACTTAAAAAATGTCAAAAGTAAAAAGTGACAAAAAAAAACTACGAGAACAAAAATAAGACAAAATTATACTTAAAGAAACTTAAAACATATTTAATCTAATTTAATTTCATAAAAATATTATAATGTAATAATTTTTTATAGTAGATCAATTATTTTAAATACTGAAAGGAAAAATTTTGTTGTATCAAACTTAATTAATTATTTTATAGAAAAAATTATTTTAAACATGATTATTTTTATAAAAAAATATCTTAATGAATAAAAAGAAATAATAAATCAAACTTAATTAATTCAACTATTAAATGTTATGATATTAACTCAATAATTATAGATACAATTTTTATTAGTGTACTGACTTTAAGCAATAATATAAGAAAATCAAATCCTGTCAAACCATCAAATAAAAATTTACTTATTTATAAAATATAATAAATATCTTATCCTATTTTATTATAATTCGAAACGAGTTCTTGTAGTATAAATTTGAGTTATTACTTTTAAATGTAGAGATATTTTTTATTTTATCTTTTTAACATATTTTTTTAATGATTTTTTTAACATGTTATCACACTATTATTTAATATATATATTTAAATTATTAATTAATTTTATTTTTTTACGTTGAGATCTTTATTCTCTTGTCAAATCTCATGTTTATTTTTAAAAAATATTTTTTATATTAATTTTTTGGGTCAAATATATTTCTTTAAAATTTATTCTCAATTTTGAATATTAATTTCTTCTTTTAAAATCTAATATACTTATAGTGTTTATTTACTTGAATTATATAAATATATTTATTCTTTAACTTATAGTTTTCAAATTTTATTTTTATAAAATTAGCAATGACTTTACAATGTACATGAGTAAAATTTATTTTTATGTTTTAGCGTATTATATCATATGTATTTATACTAATTTTGATACATACACTTAAAATATCATTAAATAATTAAAAATTTAGATCATATAGCAATTATGTTAAAAAGTAATAGAAAAAACACTATCACATATAAATAATGACTTAACGATATTTGATAAACAATGTGTCAATAGTACTGAAGTTGAGTTGTTGAATTATTATTATTATTTATTAAAAAATAAAATTACATTAGATATTATAAAAATTTTGTTTCATATCCTTAATCAATTAATTTGTAATTTATTAAACTATTAAAAACACTGTATAACTAATTTTATTTTAATTTTTATATTTACGTTTAAATATCTACTTACTCATTTTAAATATGAATTTTGCAGGGTTGTACATTTATGCACTACATTTTTTATTTATATTTTTAAATTAATTTAATAAAAATAATATTGGCTGTATATATACATGAATAATTTTTTATTTTTTATATTAAGGTTTGATTAAATTTTATTTATCTATATTTTAACTATAAGATTTACTTAAATTATATAAATATACAAATATCTCTCTATATAAATTATTATAACTATGTTAATGGGAGTGATTTTGAAGACTGGCAAAAATGTTTTATTTTTTTTTTAAAATTAGAGTATTTTTAATAATTTTTCAACCTCTCATGTTTTTTGATCTATCTATTTTATTTTTATTTTGATACAATAATTTCAATATTTTTGTTTTTAAATTGTCTATCTATTTCTTTATATATATAATTCAAGAATAATTTTATTAATCAAGTATTTTTAAGAATTATTTTCAATGAAAATATTTTTAAATATTTTTTTAACTCCTCATATCTTTTAATTTATCTTTTTTTAAATTTTATATAAGATTTTAATATTTTAAAAATGTTATTA